TTTACAAAAGTATCACAGCCATTCTATCCAACGCTGTACAGTGATGGACAGAATGGTTGCGACGCTTTTTTTATTGAGTTTAGGAACGTGCATGTAAATTCAGGGCTACGATACAAAATCTTCCCCTAGTAGCACAGTGCATTGACCAAACATTGGTTAAACGTTGGCCCAATATTTCATTGTATTAGGCCAATGTTTAGCCAATGCACTGTGCTACAAGGGTCTTATCCGAGGAACAGTTTACTCGAGGGCCATTCGAAAATCATTTTAAGCGTTTTAGGCTAATTCATTATTCACGACGCAATCGTATATTTCTTACATTTAACAAAACTATTTTAAAATTATATTAAATATGATATATTAGCGCACACTGTATAGAAATGTGTAATCATATGGATCTTAAAAGTGTAAAGGCCAGAAAAGGAGCAGTTCCCAAAAGCTTCTGTCCCAGACGGCACTCTGGCCCGAAATATCGCGGTCCCTCCCTCCGTCTGTGCTACGCGCGCGCGCGATTCCCGTAGGAATACGAGAGCGGCGTTACCGCGCGAAAATAGGAAATAAAAATAGGCGGAATGTGTAGAATCGCATTATATAATGTCCGAGATCCTGTTTGCCGAACGGCGAGCGTGGCGTTACGTTACGCGGCGGAATTCCGCGGTGAGAATTTCCGCGTGCGTGCGGCGGGGCGGCAGGGGGAGGGCAGCCCGCCCGTAAATCTCCCGCTATTTCCTTTTCTCCCCGAGGTGCCGAGATCGGATCTACGCAGATCTACACGATCGATCACCGTGTCGGGCTTCGATCCGCGGCGGAGGAAAGGTGCACCGGCAGCTCGGTAGAAAGCCTGTGGGCTCGATGTCGGCGTGCTAGCGCAAGTTGCCGCGGCGACTCGTTTATGCCGCGTGCGTATACACGCGCGCGCGCTATTGTACGTGTGTGTGTGTGTGTGTGTGTGTGTGTACGCATGTGTATCGGCTCGTCTTTACTAGCATAAGTTAAACGCGCGCCGTGTTCTCCCGGGTTCCCCCCGTGCTGGTGGGACCTTGTTTCATGACCCACATAAAGCAAGGCCGTTAACACTACTCACGACTTCACACACACACGCACACACACGCACTCGCACACATACACACACACGCACACGCGAGGGCCCGCGCGCGCGCTCGCGCGAGGTGCGCTCCGCGCTCTATGGAGAAGGCTCACGTGTTACCCCCTACCCAGATAGCGCGGCACCCATCGGACCCCCGTGCGAGATGGCCCCGAATTGGTACCACCTGGTAGGATCGCGGCTGGTACACCGCGACGGGAGATAAGGGACTCGGGGGATATGCCTCGTTCGGCCGGTGTGTCACTTTTAAGCCGACGCGATTAAATCGAGAGCTCCTCTGACCCGGTCGTTCTCGTTGACCCATTAAAGCCCCGCGATTAAAATATACGCGGATGATCAATTAAGGCGCGATTGTACGTTGTTTTTTTTATTTATTTGTCTCCCCGCGAGATTCGTAGCAGAATTGCAAAACCGGCTGACTCTCTCTTTCGCGTATCTGGAAGATCGTGCTCAATTTTTCAGGCGTTGGCGCGTGAAATTATTTCGGCGAGAATCGATGGGCAGGAACAATGCGATTGTAACAATAAATAACGTTCGAGTGTAATCGTGACTACGTAAATGCGAGAAACCGATTCGCATTTTGATATTAAGGAAAGTACCCTACTATGAGATAGGGTCCTAATATGAGACAGCGGAGTTTCTACTACATTGATAGGCATCGTCGGCTCCACCATGAATTTATTGCTCTTGGAGTAAAATCTGTCCAATAAAAAATTCATTGTTAGATCGTGTACTAGTTGCGAAAAGAGATCTGTTATTGAATCTGGACGTTGGAAACCTGCTATCTCATATTAGAAGCCTGTCTCATAATCAGGGACTTTCCTCCAACTATCGCGGCAATGACATTGTCCAATTAAACGCAGCCTATTTATCCGAGCTGTAAAACTTTTCCAATCCTCCGCTCTCATCCGCATCGGAACACGATGCTTCATTACGACGTGATCCGCGTGATTCGTCACGGTAACGCAATCGGGACGTCGCGAATAATCTTCGCGAAGGCACTTTTTCTACGGTCCAGCCTGAGACGGGCCCGCTGGTCCCGCGCAAGGTCCGAGAGGAGGAAGCCGCGGGGATCCCTGTCCCCTTGCCTTCCTCATCTTTCACTCACCGCGATGCGTGTACGTACGTACGTCGCACCGCGTCTTCACGCTTATTGTTAGTAGGTCACACCGATGCGTGCGCCGGTGTTAGCGAGAGGATATCGTGGCAGCGCGTACCAGTGCGCGCGCGAAACATTATCGTACTCACGGCGGAGCCTGGCTGTGGGTCCGGCGGTTGCCACCTCGGTGGCACCTTGATCTTGATCTTGACTCCGCGCAAGGCCCGTCTCGCGGCGGGCAGACGCCGCCTGGAGAACGCGCACGGTCCCGCGTCTTATTCGTACATTTCGCGCGATTTTTTCGCCGAAAACACGTGACTGCGGCTCGATAAGTCGCGCTCCTTTTCTCCTTTTAATGACTCCTATCTTGGCGTTTAATTAAAAGGCGCGCCTAAATTGCGCTGGGGGAACCTTAAAGGAGAGCGAAAGCAGATGTGAAAGCAGAGTTTATGATTTACGGGTAAGTTAATTGCGTTGACGAATATGTAACGGCAGATACGCGGGAAGCAGCTAGAAACTCAGATAGCACAGGACGTCCTCAGGATATCCGCGGTATCCGTCCTGGACGCCCTTGTGCTATTTGGGAATATTCTTTCGCGATGAAGAACATCGATTCAACTTACGCGTTTTTATAAAAATGTAGGTGTAAAATATTTATAATTGCACGCGAATCGGATTAAAGTTATTAATATAATTACACAATGTAATTCTCTGTATTTTTATGAACGTTGCGTATTAGGCACGTTACTTTGTTCAATTTTATTGTATAATATAAAAATCATGTCCTGTTACGAAATTCTATTAATCATTGATGTAAGAAAAATATTAGTAGTGGAATAATAAATAAATACTGCACAGCTTTTATCTTGCCGTTGACTTATGTACTTTATGAATTTTAATGACCTAATTTAGCCTTCCTTTCCCGATCATTTTTTAATCTTCTGCCTGCGTGTATTATAAATATAACTGCCGCCATCTCTCGCGATCGAATCACACCAGAAAATTTATGTATATAAAGAAGAGCTAAGTAAGATGTAAAAGAAAGTCCTATCACCATTTTCTTTCTGCGCTATACTATATATCTTATACGGATGTCGCTTATTTCGTCTCGATCGTGGATTCTGTAGGGAATCTAAAGCTGCTTTCTTTTTAACGCAAGTTTAATAACACAGCATCTTACTACTCAGCGAGAAATGACTTGTCGATTGACGTCGAAATGATGTGGAATCGACGTCAATATGACGGTTTCGATGTCGATACAACATCGATAAATAGAGAACAATTTTTATACTTTGCTGTGGTTCATACAAGTTATAGATATAAATGTATAGAAATGTAAAATATTAGAGACATTAATTTATATATAAATGAGCTTCAGAATATATTTTTCGTGCTACGCAGATATGAAAATTGAACAATACCCAGTCAGAAATGATACGACAATCGACGTCGAAACGATGTCGAATCGACGTCAATATGACTATTTCGATGTGTCATTTCTCACTGGATATTGTTCAATTTTTATATCTGCGCCGCACGAGAAATAAATGTTAAAGCTTATTTATACATAAATTAATTATTCTCTAATATTTTACATTTATATACATTTATATCCATAACTTGTATGAACCATAGCAACGTATAAAAATTGTTCTCTATCCGACTTCGACAATGCAAAAAATAAATATGCATGAAGTGCATAAGAATGTAAGAAAATATATTTTTACATTCGTACACTTCATACATACAAGTATGTAATTTGCACATACTTCTTTTAACTCAAAAAATAATACAATGACGAAAAATCGATCAGGATCGTCGATCGTGAATTGTTTCTGATCACCCGACCTGGACTTCTAAGCCGATCTTAAAAATCGCAATTTACGTTTTCTGCAATCGGCGCACGCTATCCATAATTATCGGCTGACTCGTCCTGGTCACGAACTGCCCCAGATGCAATTTTACTCGCTGATGCGGGAGGCGATTCCGAGGATCACGGATCAGGGAGCGGGAGGAAAAAGTCTAGAAAACTCTGACCTTTCGAGTTTTCCTTCATTTTATTGGTACCATCGCTCTTTCGTACACAACGATCGCAGACGATCGATAATAGACTCCGGCCGTAATCTGGCACAAAATGCATCTCAGATTTCGCGTCTACGGCGAAATATGAGATAGGCATGCTCGATTTGGAAATACTCGTCTTGACGTCTTATCGATATATTATACACGAGTAAGCGTCGTTGTTGCCGATAACGTGTACTGTTACCGAAGATCGGCTTGCAACGTAATATTTAATTTGTCGTAATAACGTGCAGTCCGATAAAATGATGTGCACGTGTTATTGTCGCGCGAAGTACATTAACTACGCACTAAAGTGTTTCTCGCCGTAATCGAAAGGTAGGAAAAAATGAAAGGGCGACTTTCGTCCCTGATCTGACCAATTACCGCGAGTTTTTTTAACGGAGCATGCATGAATGGTGGATGCATAGCGTTTACATTTAAATAAACTTAATATCGCATCAAAGCGACGAACCTGGACTAATAGTCGAACAAACGTATTATTGAATGTCCTAATGACGACGGTGTGGTATTCGTATCTTACAAGGGAACGTTCGGAAGTGTCCCTCACCGATTTCAATGAGCTTTGGATATGTTGTAGAGCATAAAAAAGTATTACACCCGTATTTTTTTTATCGGTTTTACTCGACTTCAATATACCTAATACTTTTTTATGCTCTACAACATATCCAAAGCTCATTGAAATCGGTGAGGGACACTTCCGAACGTTCCCTTGTTAGTGTGATTTTCGTCGTTCTCAGGATGATTTGCGTTGGAATGTTGATAAGATAAGAGAATGCAATAAGAACCCCAAAGTCGTATTCTACAGTGTCTATTCATTTGCATTCTCTCACTCGTAATAATATTACGAGCAATGATGTATCGTTGATTTTCACTTCACGAAAAGTTATATTTACAAGCGTCACTCTTCTAATCTTCCTTAATTATACTGTCTACAATTTACACCTCCTACTTCACAAAATTCAAACTTAACTTCGACTCATTACTAATAATTCGTTTATCGATATTAAAATTGTAATCAACAAGACACAATGCCTTGTTGACATCTTAAACGGTTTGATACACGGTCCCTTTGCAACTAGTCTGCGAAAACTTCCACGTTACTTATAAAAGCCTGATTAATAATGCAAAACGCCATATTGGTAAATTATTCAGCTCGTATTTAAATACGATTATAACTTTTATACTTGTACGAGTTGATTTTATTCCAATTCTACCGATTGCATGTTTGATAAAGCTCATTCTATGAAACAGAATGTTTTTCGATTATATCAGCGATACATAATAGATACGGATGTCAAAGATTCAATAACTGCAAGACTTTTACATCTGCCTTGTACATTTATTGTATATAGTATACTTTCCTTATCAACCTGCAGGCGTAATGCCAGGAACTAGATCGTTTTGCGCGATAAAAACATAAATAAAATAACATCTTCCTAATTATATTATTAAAGAATAAAGCAATTATGTTGTAGTTATAGTTAATCTGGAAATTATTAGTGAAAATTATTATTAGTGATTTCTCTACCATAATCTGATTTGGTTCATTTTGTGTATCAAATTTGAATTAGTTGAATGGCTTTTTAATCGATTTTTAATGTATCTATTTTTTTGTTTTTCTGTGTAATTCTCAAACTAAGAAACAAACCAACTAGAGAGACTACAATTTCCTTAGAATATTGTGCTCAAGTCGAATTTCGACACTGAGTATTTGTTTAACTCGGTGGTAATACTTTTGACTTGCATTTAAATTCAAGTAGGACTTTTCGAAGTGTTTCAAATCATTTGAAAAATATCTTAATTATTGCTTCGATATTAATCAAATAGATTTATTTAACGTGATAACTTTGATAAAATCTAAGTGCACTTGTCATCGAGTCAATTTACTGAATACGAGCACTAAGAGCAATAAGGAAATCAACTCCATGATAAATATTTGCATCCTATTTTTACTTGATGAAAGTGAAGTGATATTGATATATTTTCTCTAATTGATGAATCTATTAAACAGGCACATAATAGCTTGCATAATTTTGCCTATTTGTAGGTTCGGCATTTTCATGAACCGTGATAAGTATTTTTTTATGGTTTGTGATAGTGTCAAATAAATATTTATTCTTTAATTCCCGTTTAATTTGTAATATAGAATCGGAAGAATACTCAACTCGAAAGGGACATTTCAAACCCTGACACCGCGTTGTGCCAACAACTGTTTCCTTTGGTGAAGACTTGGCGAATCTACGGTAATCTCGTCGTTCTTCACGCTGTCGAATGACTTGGAGGTTTTGAAATTATTTAGGACGTTCAAGCAATTGTTGCTCGTCATTTCGAAAGATTTGGAATTTCTTAATGACGCGCTAGCTAACTTTCTGATAGTTTCCGAAATGGGATACTTGAAGTCCACCCGTTCCCTTTCCCTCTCCTTAATTCTTCGATTATCGTTGACCACCATCAAGGGATCTTTCTTCTCCGTTTTTCTCTCCTCCTGCTTGTCTGTTTTAGAATCCTCGTGTTTCGTTCTCAGATTATCGCTTTCGTCAGTTCTATACGTCGTCATCGACTCTGACTTGTCCTCTATTTTATTCGTAAATGACTCTAATCGCGGACGTTCGCTTTCTTCCTCCTCCTTCTTGTCGTCTTGACCTAGTAAAGACTTTGGTGGCGCCTCCACGTAACCGCTCTCGTCGCTGTCGGCCTCCTCGTCGAGAGAATCCAGAGTTAGGAACGAGGTCTCTTCATTGTGTAGAAATTCGTGTCCTATCCTGCCAGGATACTTCTCGTTCGCTCGCCTTTCCCTCTTCTTCGGATCCTCGATCCTGTTCATCACCTCTCCCCTCGGCCGGTAATCCACCACGTCGTCCAGATCCTCGACGTCCTCGAAGTCGAACATGTTCGAAGCGGTGTCTTCCATCTCCTCTTCTTCCTCCTCCATCGATTCTTCCTCCTCGCTCGTCAAGGGAAACCTCTTCATGGAATCCATAGGATTGAAACGAGGACTGCCGGCGCATGTCATGAAGTGCGGCGAACCTTCCGAATTCCTTCGTGGTCCTGGCCCCCTGACGACCCGGTCATCCGCGAAGAGAACTCTTTTGATCGACCCTCGCTGATCGTTTTGATCTAGAAATTACATTTTAAAGGTAAGCAACTTATCGAGAGGTGACATTATAACTTCGTATGTCACGCACCAACTGGTACGACTTGTCGAGCAACTGCCCTTTCGACATAATTATGCAAATATCGAAACTCCTATCGTTATATACGCCTCCAAAAACATTTTACAAAGATAGCGATATAATGTTTCGAACGCAAAAACACGCGATATCACAAAAGAAAGGAAATAAAAGACTATCAAAGGTACAAAGGTGAAAAAATTAGTTACTCATACGTTTATCAAGCCTATTGACGTTGCAAAGTAATTGCGTCTTATCTGCTCATAATATTAAAAATAACGTAAAAACGTGCGCTAGTCAGAAATTACGCGCTATTTAGCTATTATAATTGTATCATGAGGTGATATAAATTTATCTCCATTATCTCCACCTCATTACGTTTATGTAACCATCTTTGCATCATATCTCGCAACACAAAACAACGAGGAAAATTTTAAAAAACACCGTACGTCACAAAGGTGCATTTACATGATAAAAAATGCGTTTAAAAAAGTCGCACGTTTGCTTCAAGTTTCAGAACGCTTGGTGTGAATAACAAGAGATGATTTGCGAACAATACTCACTCTGCGCGAGTTGCTCCTCCGGGCCGGTGGCTCTCTCCTCGCTGGTCGCCGTGCTGGCGGTCTCGCAGCCGCTGGAGATGCTGCCGTTTTCGTCGGACTCGCGATTGAGGGCGTCCAGCAGTCTGGCTATCCTCCAGCTGTCCTGGTCCTCCCAGCTACGCGCCACGTTCTCCAACGAGCGCAACTCTTCCAGCAGCCTCTTCTGCTCCATCTCCTCGGCCACCGCGTCCTCCTCGATCGCCGACAGCTTAGGCGCGCTCTTCGACCTCTCCAAGGGCGGCCGGTAGTTTTGGCCGCCGGTACTCAGGAGAAGCTTCCTACGCGGCAACGACGGATTGTCGTATAACGCGTTCGCCAGAGACAATCTGCAACGATAAACTAATTAATCCAAAGTACGCCAAAGTGACATTTTTAATTGCTACGGATTCTGCAAACGTTGAGCCTCTCTTTGGCGATGACTTGATGAAAATTTTAATACGTGTGAGAAAGAGGAAAGATTCGTAATTATCTTTCCCGTGGTAACTTTACGATTTGCTCATTTCTTTTTGACTTTTATATCTGGAGAATCGTAAAATTCCGATTTATGACATAATTAACAATATTTATATTTAAGAAGATTAAAATTTTAGTTGAGTAAAAGACAATAAAAACTGTACAGCTCTGTCATCAACTTGTCATCGAACTCTCTCCACGCGTTCTCTTTCTAGCAAAAGGGTGTATTCCTGAATGACAACGCGATAAAGAAAGTAGTAAATTAGACGTATTAGCGCAGTTCCAGCGGGAGCGTTGGAGTATGCTTGACCCGCGACTTGGAAACACTGACCCGAATGCACATCGCCGAGCGGCGATCGCTTCCCCGTCCCGGATCGTGACTCGATCGCGCACATAACGATCTACAATCGTGACCGGAATCGTGACTTCCACGGTGGATGCGCGAGCGTGCGTAACCGCGCGTGCCTCTCCGTGGACGAAGATGGCGAAATTTCTCTTTTCTCCCCGATTAAAGCAGGGGAGGCCATGCAAGAGCACCTGTGCGGCGGCACCGACGTAACGACGGT